ATTCTCCCTACCTTCCTGGTATTGCTACTCCCATTTCTGTTCCTGAGGGTTTATCTGACCTGGTTTCTGTGTGTCATGAGCTCTTATCTCTAGTAGTGTACATGCTCTGGTCTAGCCAGAACTGAAAGGCAGGACTAGAATCATGAGAGTGAGGTGGAGGTGGGGGTGGGTGGGTGAGGAAGCCTCAAAGAACCAGAGGTGTTTCATCAGTGCTATACTGAGCCCTGGTTGACTCATCCCTTCCTTGTGACCCTTCTGTGAAGGGACGTCCTGTTTTCTATATATGGGTTTGGGGTATCTGCTTCAACCACCCTCATTCTCAATAATTTGTTGTTGGTGGTGGTAGTGTTTTGGGTCTTCTGGTGCCTGTTACCTGATTCATTGACACCTTGTGATCATGCAGGCGGGTGTGCTTCTTCCATGTGGGCTTGTTGCTTCTCTGCTAGATGGCTGCTTGTTTAACTTCAAGTCTTTAAGATAGCAGATACTATATGTTTGATAGCCGGGCACCATCAGCTTTCTTTACTATATTTGCTTGTGCACCAATTTTGTCTTCAGCAATCATGTAGTGAGGGTAAGCATCACAGAATGACAGGTTGTTAGAGCAAAGCATCCTTGTGTTGAAAGAGGGCTTGAGGAGAGGCCCAAAGTCCACTTCCCCAATGAATACATCCACTTACTCAACGTCTTGCCTTACAAATATATGTACATAATCCAATACCTCTATTTTTATGAATTAATATCTTTACATAAGTGCACACCTATGTTTATACCTCTATCCATAGCTTTGCTTCCTAGACCTTCCCTCTGTTTCCTTTTACCTTCCTCCTGCCACACCATCATGCATACCCTTCTTCTGCCTCTTAGTAATTTCTCTCAGCGAGATTGCTGTTGCTCCAACACCAGTGGGATCGCTACATCCTCCTCATTGCCTTTAACTTCAAATCTTCATAGGAGTAGACGGCCTTAATTTGAACTCTGCAGAGCTGGCGGTGATTTCAAACACTGATCTTGTAGTTAACAGAGTCATAATTTACTGGATGGCAGTGAAGGCCAGATATTCACGGCAAGCACAATCATTAACGGTGAAAGACAAAATGCTTTTCATCTAATACTGAAAAACACAATGATGTCTGCTCTCACCCCTCTTCAAATTAGTCCAAATGCAAGATTGGAAGGGTATAAATAAAACTCTATTTGCAGACCACATGATTATTTATCTATTTAGGACACAGTGAACTGTGATATACTTTTTGCCCTTGGCTGATGTTAGGTGCCTTTCCGCGACGCTTTATACCACAGGACAATTGCTTTTAGGTGGGAACTCGGAATCATTCTTGCTGTCCTTCTCCCAAGACAGGTTTGTTTGTTCTTTCGGCAATCCATGATCATTTAAATATTCTTTGCCATGTGCATCAATGTTTCTCTTATCTTCCTAGTCATTGCCTATCTTCCATACGCATATGAAACAAGTGAACATTCCTTGACCTTTAGTCAGGCACATATCAATTGTCTCCTCAAAGTGATATCTTCACTCATTAGCACTTGAGAGAGGGCTCCTGGGGCACATGTGCCCACTACGGCTCGGCTCGCGGTTTGACTTCTTGATGGCTGTTTTCATCAGCATTGCTGTAGATCCAAGCAAAATGAAATCGCTGACATCTCTCATTGCTTTTCTATTTATCATGGGTTCATGTGTGAAAATCTTTGTTTTCTTTATAAAGATGTTCTTTTTCATGTCATCTCCAGCTCTTTCATCTTGAGAAATCCATACTGAAGACTGCCTTCTGATTTTCATCACTCGGGGCTTCGAGGCCTCTTCACTTTCTGCGGGCAAGCAGTCTTGGTGTGTTCCCCTTCCTACACACCGTGTTCTGAGATTGTTTGCTCAGCCTTCAGACTGAGTAAGTATGGTGATGGATATAATCCTGATGGACACCTTTCCTGGGTTTTAGCCACACACTGTCCCCTGGTTCTGTTTGAATGACTGGCTCTTGGTCTATGTACCAGTTTTGCACATGCACAATGAAGTGTGTAGGTGTCCCCATGCTTCACGATGTTATCCAGAATTTGTTATGAGCTTTTGCATGAAAACACAAGTAACACAGATATTTTTCTACTTTCAACTGGGATCTGTCTAACTTCAGCAAAGGTATCTAATTTTCCATATGTTTTTTCCAAATAGAGCTTAATTTTCTGTTAGTTCTCAGTCAGTGCACTGCTGTAACCATTTTTACATTATGTTCAGCAAAATTTTGCTTACATATAATAGTATTGATATTGTTCGATATTTTCTGCATTCTGCTGGGTCTCTTTTCTTTGGAGTAGCCCAAATATGGATCTCTTTCCATCAGTCACCAGGTGGCTGTCTTCCAAATTTCTTGGCACAGACAAATGAGTGCCTCCAGATCCACCTTTTACTTTCTTCATGGATGATGTACTGGATGGTATCCCA